ATTGGTTCTTTTGAAAGGGAGGATGGGAGGGAGGATGGGGTGGGGTATATCTGGAGAGCAGGCAGCCGGGTTTGGGTTAGGAAGGGGGTGTCTCTCCCCCTGAGCTGTCCCCCCCCCCCCAGCTGGCCTTTAGAGGGCGTGCTCGGCCACCTTCCCATCCTCGGCCCCGGGGCCCTCCAGGCCGGGCCAGAACTCCAGGTTGCGGCGCAGGGAGGTGAGCACCTGTACCTGCAGGTTGGAGACGGGCTCTGGGGAGGCGGCCAGGGCGGCCGTGGCCATGGTGCGGTTGAGCAGGGGGTTCGGGGGGTTGCTGCTGGGGGGGTGCGTGGCCTTCCAGTATGCCTCCAGGTAGTCAGCCAGGTGCTCACAGGCGTCCTCCAGCTGGTTCTCATCCAGGATGATGTCAAACAGCTCCTACATACAACATGGAGGGACATTATGTTAGTGTCTCACCTTTCAACTTCTGAGATTCAGCCAACTACCTAAAAGGGCATCATTTCCATGTTAAGCCAATGCCATTGTTCAGACTGGTCATTGTGAATTCATTTGTTTCGGCCACAGAATCCAGGGTCACAGACAGACACTCACAGGGGGGCACTGGGCCAGTTTGTCTGCTGCCACCATCTGCACGTTCAGGTGTTTGGCCTGGGACTTCCCCCGGGATTTAATGAGCCTCTGGAGGACCTGAAGGGAGACAGGCAACAACACATTGCTGTCACTGCTGGTCACATTATAGACATTTCAGTCATGTACATGCCATTTCAGTAGATGTGATGGAGGAAGTCAATCTATCACAAAGTAATTCATCTCAGAGGGTACCTTAGGTGAGGCTATTTTGATGTAGACGATGATGGGAGCCAGGGAAGTCTTGGCCAGCTGAGAGGGGTGGTTGATGGTGTCTGCGTCTAGGGCAACCAGCTGCAGGGTGCGGGCCAGCTCAAAGATACGCTCAATCTCACTCTGCACCTCCGCTATGTGGCAGAGAACAACATGGGAATGCAATAAGTAACGGGGTATTGTAGGTGTCTGAATACACATACAGTATACAAATTGAATTGGTTGTCAAATCTCAATTCTGTCCACAATTAAGTCCCTTCTGGAGTATACATGAGATCAGTGTGACTATTGCCACTTTGCTAACTCATATTTCACACACTTACCATTACAAAATAACAGGATACACACATGCAAATGTGGAATGTTAATACTGTATCATGCATGTCAACATTTTGGCAAAAGGTTCTGTGCATGTGAAACAGAACCCATCGCATTAGACGTTCCATTTACACATGGCTAAATGGAACATTGAGACATTCTCATTCTGTTGCCACATTCCAACGAGTAGTAACTGATGTTTTGCACTGGTAAATATGATCTCTAACATACGTTTTTATATCGACTCAAACTCGGGAAGGAAGGAGGCTTATAAGAATGAGATGCCTGTGGTGGCACTTGATATACTCTTCTGAACATGTCAATTAATAAAATAATCTGAAACTGATGAAGTGTAATAACATTCGCTGTTAGAGCTATCAGACATTGCAAACGTATTAGTCTGTTTGGATGTTTCGGCTTTGTAGACTCTCATTCTCCTTCAGCAAAACCCTAGAAGAGCCTGTATGGTTTTAACAGCTTGGTTGTCCCCTTTATCATACGCTCAGATGTGTGGACATGTTTGGGGGTGGGGGGGCATAACAGGGGACAGGTAATCTGCAGAGGGGCTGCGGGCTGCAGACAGTTTCCCTCTGAAGGGCTGAGGTAGAAAGGGAATTAAACCTGCAGGCGGAAGGAAGCGACTCAGGGACCAGAGGCTCCACAGAGAGATAAGAGAAATGAACTTCACCTAAAATTATGAAAACCTAACAAACTGTCCTAGCTTTTATTAACCTGCAAATGTCCCCAATATACACTGCATCTATGTGAAGAATGTGTTCCCTGTATCAGATTGGTAGTAACCAATGATGTACGGTATATAAACACATTAATATATGAACGTCTATGGTCATAACACAATCAAATTGTGTTTGAGTTTCAGGCTCCTTGTAGGTAAAGTGTTATTACATGTTGCTTTACAGTAGGGTCCCTGATTCTGGGTCACAGGGTGGTAGGCAATGGGGGATGGAGGGGGAGTATCAGCTTCCCCTGTACGCTCATCCCTGACCACAGTTGGCCCCCCAGGCCCCCTATCACATTTCCCCTGAACCACAGACAGACAGACAGACAGACAGACAGACAGACAGACAGACAGACAGACAGCAGGCAGACGCTCAGCTGAGTAGCCTAGAGCCACCAGAGCCACCCAGCACTCATACTGCTGTGTAATTAGTGTACTCTTTCCAAGCCTTAGTTCAAGTTGTTTTATTACTGCAAGCAACAGGCTCTCACAAACCTGTGTGAGGAACAGAGAAAAGGACAGACAGACAGGCAGACGCATGAGGTATGAGTGTGTGAGGAGAGTAGTGAGAGACAGACAGGGGAGGAGAACAGAGAAAAAGCTCTTGGTTGTTTTCCTCGTGGGGTTGAGAGCATACGTACCCAGTACGTCTGAGAGACGTAGAGAGAGTGGAGGGAAGGAGAGTGGTGGAAGAGAGGGACGGGTGGGTGGAGGGTAGGAAAAGACAGGATGGAGAAAGAGAAGAGGCCAGATCAGACTCAGACAGTGAGTAATAAAGGTAGAAGGCTGACAACCCTTTCAGGTTCCTGTGGACAGGCTACACCGCCCCTCTCTGCTCAGCTAGCCTCTCCTCTAGAGGGGCCTTGTTGTTCTGTGCTTAGCCCTACTCACTGATATTGAAGACTATCTATCCCAAATGGAGTGGATTGATGACCTTCTAAATAAAAACATTTGTTTAAACCAATTACAGTGAGGGAAAAAAGTATTTGATCCCCTGCTGATTTTGTACGTTTGCCCATTAACAAAGACATGATCAGTCTATAATTTTAATGGTAGGTTTATTTGAAGAGTGAGAGACAGAATAGCAACAACAAAATCCAGAAAAACGCATGTCAAAAATGTTATGAATTGATTTGCATTTTAATGAGGGAAATAAGTATTTGACCCCTCTGCAAAACATGACTTAGTACTTGGTGGCAAAACCCTTGTTGGCAATCACAGAGGTCAGACGTTTCTTGTAGTTGGCCACCAGGTTTGCACACATCTCAGGAGGGATTTTGTTCCACTCCTCTTTGCAGATATTCTCCAAGTCATTAAGGTTTCAAGGCTGACGTTTGGCAACTCGAACCTTCAGCTCCCTCCACAGATTTTCTATGGGATTAAGGTCTGGAGACTGGCTAGGCCACTCCAGGACCTTAATGTGCTTCTTCTTGAGCCACTCCTTTGTTGCCTTAGCCGTGTGTTTTGGGTCATTGTCATGCTGGAATACCCATCCACAACCCATTTTCAATGCCCTGGCTGAGGGAAGGAGGTTCTCACCCAAGATTTGACGGTACATGGCCCTGTCCATCATCCCTTTGCGGTGAAGATGTCCTGTCCCCTTAGCAGAAAAACACCCCCAAAGCATAATGTTTCCACCTCCATGTTTGACGGTGGGGATGGTGTTCTTGGGGTCATAGGCAGCATTCCTCCTCCTCCAAACACGGCAAGTTGAGTTGATGCCAAAGAGCTCGATTTTGGTCTCATCTGACCACAACACTTTCACCCAGTTCTCCTCTGAATCATTCAGATGTTCATTGGCAAACTTCAGATGGCCCTGTATATGTGCTTTCTTGAGCAGGGGGACATTGCGGGCGCTGCAGGATTTCAGTCCTTCACGGCGTAGTGTGTTACCAATTGTTTTCTTGGTGACTATGGTCCCAGCTGCCTTGAGATCATTGACAAGATCCTCCCATGTAGTTCTGGGCTGATTCCTCACCATTATCATGATCATTGCAACTCCATGAGGTGAGCACTTGCATGGAGCCCCAGGCCGAGGGAGATTGACAGTTATTTTGTGTTTCTTCCATTTGCGAATAATCGCACCAACTGTTGTCACCTTCTCACCAATCTGCTTGGCGATGGTCTTGTAGCCCATTCCAGCCTTGTGTAGGTCTACAATCTTGTTCCTGACATCCTTGGAGAGCTCTTTGGTCTTGGCCATGGTGGAGAGTTTGGAATCTGATTGATTGCTTCGGTGGACAGGTGTCTTTTATACAGGTAACAAACTGAGATTAGGAGCACTCCCTTTAAGAGTGTGCTCCTAATCTCAGCTCGTTACCTGTATAAAAGACACCTGGGAGCCAGAAACCTTTCTGATTGAGAGGGGGTCAAATACTTATTTCCCTCATTAAAATGCAAATTCAATTTATAACATTTTTGACATGCGTTTTTTCTGGATTTTGTTGTTGTTATTCTGTCTCTCACTGTTCAAATAAACCTACCATTAAAATTATAGACTGATCATTTCTTTGTCAGTGGACAAACGTACAAAATCAGCAGGGGATCAAATACTTTTTTCCCTCACTGTAGGTCAATGGTTGAATGGGCGACTATGAGGCTCCCTACTGTATGTCGTCAATAGATGCTAACATCCAATCAACCAATATTTCCTGACCTTTTGTGAACAGGTAGCTATTACCAACAGAAACAATACTTTTAAATATCTTTCTCCCAGTACTCGGAGACAGGTAAACACCAGTCATTGTCCATGTGTAGCTCAGTTGGTAGAGCATGGCGCTTGCAACGCCAGGGTTGTGGGTTCGTTTCCCACGGGGGGCCAGTATGAAAAAATAAAATTAAAATAATAATAATAATGTATACACTCACTAACTCTAAGTCGCTCTGGATAAGAGCGTCCGCTAAATGACTAAAATGTCAAATGTAAATGTACAAACTGGTATTTCATTTAGAGTCAGGCAGGTCATCAGCAGGATCAAACACATACACAAGCTAAGGTTGATATATGAAAACACAGATAGTGAAAGGTAACAACACAATAGCCCAATGGATGATAAGAAACATTAACTAACAAAGCTTTTTGAAATGTATCACGTGGGAGTGTGTTGGAAAGGCACAGAGCCAGTCCTGGCGCTTATTGTGATCAATGGTTTTGTTTTAGGTACAAGAAAGGCACAAAGGTGTCTTGCCCTGTCTTACCCAGGCTGGAGCGGGTGCTGGAGCGCTCGATGATGGTGTGTTTACTGGGGTTGTTGAGGACCGAGCGCTTGGCCAGGGAGATGTCTGCTGTCACCCGAGTGATGGATATCCTGGAAGAAACATTATCAACCAATCAGGGCTGAGAACTGGAAACGTCTAAAAGCAGGTTAACTAAATACTAAGTTGAAGATATTTTCAACCTATACTAAATATGGGAAATATTTCAGTCATGTTCTCTGGCTGGCCTGAAACTCACCTGCCCTCAAACTTGTGCTTGAGAAAGTCAAAGAGAGCCTTTTGCATCATGTCAGTCACCTGGTGGGAGATGAGGAGAAGACGAACTGAGGTATGGAATATGACAGATATAATAAACCATAAAGAAAGTTGTTAATTGTTTAATGGGGAGATTGAGACATACAGTAGCCTTACCTCGTAGCCCTTGAGTGACGGCCCCACTAGAATGATGGGTCTCATGGAGGGGACCACGTCGTAAGGGGGAACATGCTCCATCTAAGCCAGGGAGGAGAGCACCAAGAGTGGGGTGAGACACTATAACCACTGTGTCTGAACACAGACATACACACACGAACAGAGCTCACACATACTTTGAGACGCACAATCTACAGCCACTTTGTACGCACATGTACGGAGCTACACAATCTACTGCCACAGAAACACACACACATAAATCAACATTATGTCAACACCAACTCTCCCTCTCTCTGTACAGTGGACTACAGTCAGAATGATATATAATGCATTTCAGACAGAGGCCATTTATTATCTTGGAGAGGATAAAAGCTCCAAAACCAAGCGCACATGTTTTCACAGAAAGCACTAATTTCCATTTCTCAGTCTGCTCTGCCAGTCATAGCAAATGAAATCAACCATAATTCAACTGGATCAGAATGAGCTATGGAGAGTGGTAGGGGCCATTATTGATATATTAAAAAAATCTCAGGTGCTTTCGTGCAGCCAAAGGCTTATGTGACTGTGGTTCCAGTCAAAGATAACTTTGTCAATTCCCCTCCTCTCTCTCTCCTACTCTCTCTTAGTATGTATCTGTGTGTGGTAGACTCCTCTTGCTTTATAGAAAGACGCCAGATAGACACCAAGCCAAATGGGTTTTTAGGCCCAGAAAACGGACAACCAGCACACACCAAACCTACAAGAAGATACCCCTCATTTTGAACCAACATACAGAGAATGTATTTCAGAAACTTACTTAAAACACTCATATCACATTGAAAATGGAAACATACACAGATGCATGCACTCTTACGCAAAACACCCACACACTGTCAATCAATATTCTGACAAGTAAAACAAATGCATACATTAACACACCATCAATATGAATCATGAGGAGCATGACTCATCTGCCCAACACTGCATCTATAAGCATCTGTTCTGTTACAGAAAGTGTCCTGTTTTGGAGTGACAGGTGAGGGGAGAACACTAACTGGAGAACAGGTCCCATGGTCTATCCACTAACAGATAGGCAGGCATCAGGAGAATACAGATGTAGGATCTTCATTTGACCTATATTGTCACACCAAAATAATCCTGCAGCAACAGGTTTTGAACGTTTAGTCCATAATGTTGCTTGATCGGAAGTAGTGTACATGAAAAGGGCAATACTGTTAATATAACGGTGTGTTAGTGTGGGTTTTCAGTGAAGTTATGTTAATCACGAAGCTCATTTGCATTTCCTGCAGGAAAATTCTCACCAACAAAAAGTGATCAAATTAAGATCCTACACCTGTAGGGTGCTTGTGTGTATTTGGTGTCAGCTCTCTGTATTCTCAGCACGCCTTCTCCTCTGTATTCCAGGCAGCACTTTAGTGCACCGAGAGCAGTAGCAGAGAGGCTTGGAGAGCTCTCCTCCACTAAGGTACATTACGTTACATAAAGCCACACCTCCACAACCAGTTCACCTCATTCCGATTCACTACATCTAAAAAAATACACTGTTAAGAACTTTTCCAAATGGTGCTCATCTCTAGAGGGGCAGTGCTGGGTGAAGTGTACTGTGTATCACCATTAATCTCTTGTTTTCAGAAAAACATTTACTTTCACGTAATCTATAGAAAGTGTTTGTGCTATTGGAGGACAAAGCGTGCCTCTGTCTCTACAGTCTCCTGTATCTATGGGATCAAAGCTGTGTTGACAGCTCTGAGATAGCGAGGGACAGCGAGGTGGGCTGAGGATCGGTTACTGGCTGTCACTCAAAGCAGCCGTCCAGAATGGGAATGAAAACACATCAGGCAGCATTAGCGTTCACCAGAACTGTGTGTGGGACAGGGGCCGTGACACGCCTGCTCCTGCTCCTGCATACTAACAGCCTGTGTTTACCCAATCAGCTCTGACTGCATACTGACAGCCCGTATTTACCCAATCAGCTCTGACGACAGAGACAATGGAAGCCCTGCTTGCATTTGGCGGTAGAACTAACATTTCCCTTCCTACAATTCCTCCCTATAATTTCTCATTTTCCATCATTTATTAATTGATTATTTTGGAACACAATATCCCTGGGGACAACTGCAACACGGAAATCCTCTTGGGGAATAAGTGAAAACCTTGACAAAAATGAGGAGATGTTCAAATCCAGTCACCTCCTACTCTCTCTAGCATCAGCTGACACGAGAGCAGACTGAGGAACATGGAGAGACAACAGAGAGGAAGAGGAGGAGGCAGAATAGAAGGTACCGACTCACCGACTTCTGTTTCTGTTTAGCTGGGCCACCTACAGTATCAATCCGCACACAACCCCACGAGAAGAAAGAGCAAAAAGGACAAAAAAGAGACAAAAAGCAAAAAAGACAGAGGACGTGTTGTTATTGACAGGTTAGGGTTAGTTGGGAATTGGGAGTGGAGCTGTTCAATAGTACAGCGGAGACCACACCCATTGTAGTCTGATCGATAATTAAACTTCTTGTTTACAGTTGCACCATCAACGAATATTTATACATTGATTTTGCATCTGTGAATGTATGAACATGTTCAAGTTCGTCTTTAGACTGTAGCTCAGCTCAACCCCTCCCCCAGTTGACCAGCGCAGAAACACACAGGCAAACATATCGCAGCGTTACCATGGTGACCAGTGACTGAGGGGCCAATCGGGATTAGGGAGTCAGACAGGCGCTAGCTAGCGGCGGGAACGGAACAGTGGGTCAGTTTAGGCCAGTAAGTCAGAGACGAGGGGGGTGGAGAGGGGCTAGTGGGGACAGACAGAGGTTATTATAGCCTAGGACTGGGCCATAGCTGCGTGCAGTAGGCGGGTTTGGTTGAAGGGAGGTGAGGAGGAGAAGAGGCCGTGGTGCCTGGGGCCCCTGGAGGGCTTTACCTTCTTAAAGAAGGGCAGGCGGTGGATTTGGCCCTGGGGAGAGGTGACGCTGCCTGCGCTGCCCTTGGGGGAGCGAGGGTCACCCTGGGACTCAGGGGGCTCCTCGGCATCCAGGTCCAGGGGGTCAAGGTCAAAAGCCATCGTGGACATGTCCACATGAGCTGGGGGGGGCGGGCGGGGCGGGGTAGAGAGAGAGAGGGGACAGGGAATGACAGAAAGAGAGAGAAAGAATATCGAGCAATAGTGAAAGAGGAAGAAAAAGTGGAGATGTATACAGAGAAATGAGGAAAGAGAAAAAAGGAGGACAAGAAAGGGCATGATAAGAAATCAATAAAATACAAGAAGGCAATCCAAAGCAGAGAGAAGGACGGACTCAGATCTGAGATCTAGAAATGGGAGAAATGACAGAGTTCTGAACCAGAAATAACAGTGCTGAAAAAACATTTAAGAGATAGAAGTCAATAGGTGACTAAGTAAAGAATAAATGCTTTTGGTCACGACGAAGTTAGTGTATGAGCAGGTCAGAAAAACAGCGATCGAAACAGAACAGTGAGTAATAGAGAGATGCGGAGAGAAAGGAGGTGGAAGAGAGCGCTATTTACTGCTGAAGAAGAAGTGGCGGAGATGAGAGAGAGAGAGAGAGAGAGAGAGAGAGAGAGAGAGAGAGAGAGAGAGAGAGAGAGAGAGAGAGAGAGAGAGAGAGAGAGAGAGAGAGAGAGAGAGAGAGAGAGAGAGAGAGAGAGAGAGAGAGAGAGAGCAGAGAAGAAGAGGTGCTAGGAGTTGGAGGCAGAAAAAGCTGTGTAGCTGCCCTGAGGAGGGTGTGCTGTTTTGCTGGGACTGGTTAAGGTGGTGAGGGCTCTGTGTTTTGGGTATGGGTAGGGGTGTTTTAAGCCGACACAGCCAGGCAGGAAGAAGGGGTTTGGTATATCAGTTCAGGTATAACAAATATGGTTGATAAAGACAACCATACTATAACTGTCATGTATTAACGTTACATCATTATTACTAGGTAATCCATCATTGGGGAAACAATGCCAGTTACAGTCAATCTACTTGTCTGATCTAGTCCGTCTGTCTTCAATTCAATTATTCAATTCAATGAATTCACTCCCAGTCAGTTGTTATCTAATAAAAACATGTATATATTTCTGTAATTCCACCATCAATCTTTCCTTCTGTCTTTATGTCAGTCTATTAATTTCCCTCAGTCGCAGTGAACTGTCCTGTCTATCCAGCAGCATGACTGAACTGAACTAGCTCAGTGTTAACACATAAGGTATGGGCTGCGTCTCAAATTGGACCCTATTCCCTTTAAAGTGCATTACCTTTGACCAGGGCTGATAGGGCTTTGGTCAAACCTAGTGCACTATGTAGGGAATAGGGTGCCATTTGGGTCACAGCCCTGGTCTGGCCAAACGTAGTGATCAGATTTAATGAGAGGAGCACTATATCCTCAGCTCTATTTCAGGCTGGTCCTGTTAGCCATGCTAATGACAGACCCGCTAGGACCCCTCTCTTTCCCTCTCTCTGTCTCTCTCACTCCAGCAGCAGCACACCCACTGAAACGCTCCACTCCACACTGCAGATATCTGATTCATCATGGATCACTAACTATCCAATTAAAATCTACATGGAATATTAGCGACAGGCCGCGACAGAGGGCTATATCTGTCGTCACACACACAGTGTTGTAGTGTGTGTCTCTTCTAGCCAGCCGAGTGGTGAAGATGACCCCCAACTCCTGACCTTACCTGTGCCAGGAGGGGTGGGCCTGCGTGTTCCCGTGGCAACGTCCAGGCTGGAGCTGCCACCAGATTTACTGTAAGAGGGAGGAGGAGAGAACAATGAGTGGATGGTTACTGGTAGGTGAAAAGTGAGGTAGACTGAAAAAGAATAGTCATTGAAAATAATTGAACTTTTCCCATTTTGAATGTAAGTAAGTAGAACGGTTGGAATGTGATTGGTGAGCATGTACTGATAGGTGCCTGTATTGTGGATGCTAATTGGATAACAGGGTTGGGCTCATATCGAATTTCAGGCAGTCAATTCAGGAAGTAAACTAAAGTACAATACAAATCAAAAGGGATATTTTCATGCTCTCATAGAACGCTACTATTTCAAAGTTACAAGTACTGGGTGATGGGTGCCAGGGTACATGGGTGTGGGTACCAGCAGTACCTGGAGCTGAGGCGGTTCTGTCTCATCTTCTGCTCCTGCAGTAGCCGGGTGTTCTCCAGTTTGACTGGGCTGGGGATGAACCCCACCTCACAGCCCTCCTTCACCAGTCGCCCAATCCACCAGTCATTATTGTACTTCTGCACAGAGCACACAGACAGACAGACAGACAGACAGACACAGACGTCAATACTACCCAATAATACACACACCAGTCTTCTCCTCCCTCGCTCACAGAGCCCCTGCTATTGTTGCCAAGGCAACCACCGCCTCCATCTTAGCTTGCTTAACGACACATCACCAGACATAAATATAGAACCGGATGTTCATATTATAACTGAACAACAAAATGCCATTTCACAATATCCCCCTGTCATTATAAAATGTCAAATCATAGCTCCAGGGGATGGGGACTAAGTCATCTTCAGAAACGATCTAACAATAAGAAATAAGAAGGCCCAGTGTTGTTTGGGCAGCTCTGGTACCTCTTTGATGTGTAGGAAGTCTTTAGCTTCAAAGGAGATGGCCATGCCCTGCACCGGGACGTCATCGTTGGGCCCAGAGTTGTAGCCCACATTCGTCCGCACAGCGAAGGCCACTGGTTTGGTCTGGAGAGGTGGAAGCAAAAGAAAAAGGAGAACAAAGAATGTGAAAAGAGGATAAGATGAATGACATGAGGGCAATAGAGCGGACAAGACCGGATGAAATATTACTCAACTTGTCATGTCGCTCAATGTTTATAATGTCACAAAGACTGTTATTGAATGTTAATTGAATAGAAATAAATGTTATAATATGTGTTAACCATGTACCTACAACTGTTAGCGAGAATAGTCAGGTGTATAGTTAGGGTCAGGATGAATGGTTAAAGACTGTGCTGTTCTGTATGGCTGTATGGGGTCCTGTATAACAGAGGGACAGGGTCACAGGGAAGGGCCATGGTGACCTCTGACCTTGGCTTTCTCGAGGGTGGCGAGGGCCTGTAGGTCTGCCTCCTTCCTCAGCGCCTCTGGGTCCTCCTCCAGGGACACATCTGAGTCTGACGGCCGGCTGGTGTAGGAGTCGGCAGAGCCCTGCAACACACACACAGGGACAGAGTAAGGAAGTGAGAGAGTGAGTGTGTGTTTGTGTGTGAGAGAGAAACAGGGGCAGAGCGAGAGAAGGTATAGAGTGAAGGAAAGAAGGAGAATGTGGGAGATGGTGGCATGGTCATTTTTTCTAGTGTGCTGTATGTTTGTTCGAGCGTGTGTGTGTACACAAGCGTATTCTATGGCATGAGCACACATCCTTGAATAAAACCCCTGTGCCAGTAAGGGCAATAAAGACAGCAATAGTACTACTGGAACCACACACACACACACACACACACACACACACACACACACACACACACACACACACCTCATTATAACAACACCAACAGACAGACAGAGGGGAGAGAAATGAGTGGACTGTAGAGATGTGTGTGGAATAACACAATCAAGGCCTTGTGCCCAACGTGATAATACGTTTTTTCCTCCCCTGGGATCTCTCTCTCTCACTCTCCCTCTCTGCTTTATCTCTCCTTCACTCTGTCCCTCTCAGTCTCTTCTCTCAATATGGTCTTTAACACTGCCTGTCTTTTCCCATCTCCCTATGCCTTGATCCATCTCTATTTAGACCATAATATGTACTGTAGTGTGTTCTGTACTACTGCCTGGTGCATACCTCATTCTGAATGGCTCGAGGCAAATATCCCAAACAATCACCTATAATTGTCATCAGGTCCACCTCTCTGTGGTATTTATTTTGTTTCACCCTTTATTTATAACCTGGAGACACAAAGGGAACCTGCCTGGCTGCATGCCTGATTGGCTGCCTATATTCAAGCCTACTCATCAAATACACACACATTACTGTCTGGCACATTACACTCGGCTGGTGTAATATGAGTGTGAAGTGGATGCATCAAAACACATATGCAAAGCTGATTCACAACTGATCAGGCGCTTTGATGTGTTTAACACCCAGTGCCTACAGATTCAGTGAGTGTGGGTGTGTCAGAGAGAGAGAGAGAGAGAGAGAGAGAGAGAGAGAGAGAGAGAGAGAGAGAGAGAGAGAGAGAGAGAGAGAGAGAACCAACAACATTAGACACTTTATGGAACACAAAGCCTTCACTATTTCATCCTGGAATATCCAAGGCCTGAGGTCATCTGTCTTTGGCCTAAAGAGCAGGAATCTGGACTTCAACAAAGATATCGGAAATACAGACAATGTCATCCTACAAGAAACATGGTATAGAGGAGGAGACGGACCCACTGGTTGCCCTCTAGGTTACAGAGAGCTGGTAGTCCCATCCACCAAACTACCAGGTGTGAAACAGGGAAGGGACTCAGGGGGTATGCTAATTTGGTATAGACCAGACCTAACTCACTCTATTAAATTAATCAAAACAGGAACATTTTACATTTGTTTAGAAATTCAAAAGGAAATTATCTCAACAGAAAAACGTCCTCCTGTGTGCTACATATATCCCCCCACTAGAATCCCCATACTTTAATGAAGACAGCTTCTCCATTCTGGAGGGGGAAATCAATCATTTCCAGACCCAGGGCCATGTACTAGTCTGTGGCGACCTAAATGCCAGAACTGGACAAGAACCTGACACCCTCAGCACACAGGGGGACAAACAACTCGTAAAACGGACTATCCTACCGATCCTTGACTTCGACGATGTCATTTACAAAATAGCCTCCATCACTCTACTCAGCAAATTGGATGTAGTCTATCGCAGTGCCATCTGTTTTGTCACCAAAGCCCCATATATTACCCACCACTGTGACCTGTACGCTCTTGTTGGCTGGTCCTCACTACATATTCGTCGCCAAACCCACTGGCTCCAGGCCATCTATAAATCACTGCTAGGCAATTCGTCGCCTTATCTTAGCTCATTGGTCACCATAGCAACACCCACCCGTAGTATGCGCTCCAGCAGGTACAGTGGGGGAAAAAAGTATTTAGTCAGTCACCAATTGTGCAAGTTCTCCCACTTAAAAAGATGAGAGAGGCCTGTAATTTTCATCATAGGTACACGTCAACTATGACAGACAAATTGAGATTTTTTTTCTCCAGAAAATCACATTGTAGGATTTTTAATGAATTTATTTGCAAATTATGGTGGAAAATAAGTATTTGGTCAATAACAAAAGTTTCTCAATACTTTGTTATATACCCTTTGTTGGCAATGACACAGGTCAAACGTTTTCTGTAAGTCTTCACAAGGTTTTCACACACTGTTGCTGGTATTTTGGCCCATTCCTCCATGCAGATCTCCTCTAGAGCAGTGATGTTTTGGGGCTGTCGCTGGGCAACACAGACTTTCAACTCCCTCCAAAGATTTTCTATGGGGTTGAGATCTGGAGACTGGCTAGGCCACTCCAGGACCTTGAAATGCTTCTTACGAAGCCACTCCTTCGTTGCCCGGGGCGGTGTGTTTGGGATCATTGTCATGCTGAAAGACCCAGCCACGTTTCATCTTCAATGCCCTTGCTGATGGAAGAAGGTTTTCACTCAAAATCTCACGATACATGGCCCCATTCATTCTTTCCTTTACACGGATCAGTCGTCCTGGTCCCTTTGCAGAAAAACAGCCCCAAAGCATGATGTTTCCGCCCCCATGCTTCACAGTAGCTATGGTGTTCTTTGGATGCAACTCAGCATTCTTTGTCCTCCAAACACGACGAGTTGAGTTTTTACCAAAAATTTATATTTTGGTTTCATCTGACCATATGACATTCTCCCAATCCTCTTCTGGATCATCCAAATGCACTCTAGCAAACTTCAGATGGGCCTGGACATGTACTGGCTTAAGCAGGGGGACACGTCTGGCACTGCAGGATTTGAGTCCCTGGCGGCATAGTGTGTTACTGATGGTAGGCTTTGTTACTTTGGTCCCAGCTCTCTGCAGGTCATTCACTAGGTCCCCCCGTGTGGTTCTGGGAATTTTGCTCACCGTTCTTGTGATCATTTTGAACCCACGGGGTGAGATCTTGCGTGGAGCCCCAGATCGAGGGAGATTATCAGTGGTCTTGTATGTCTTCCATTTCCTAATAATTGCTCCCACAGTTGATTTCTTAAAACCAAGCTGCTTACCTATTGCAGATTCAGTCTTCCCAGCCTGGTGCAGGTCTACAATTTTGTTTCTGGTGTCCTTTGACAGCTCTTTGGTCTTGGCCATAGTGGAGTTTGGAGTGTGACTGTTTGAGGTTGTGGACAGGTGTCTTTTATACTGATAACAAGTTCAAACAGGTGCCATTAATACATGTAACGAGTGGAGGACAGAGGAGCCTCTTAAGGAAGAAGTTACAGGTCTGTGAGAGCCAGAAATCTTGCTTGTTTGTAGGTGACCAAATACTTATTTTCCACCATAATTTGCAAATAAATTCAGTAAAATTCCTAAAATGTGATTTTCTGGATTTTTTTTCTCAATTTGTCTCTCATAGTTGACGTGTACCTATGATGAAAATTACAGTGTCACGCCCTGGCTCTGGGGACTATGTTATGTTGAGCCAGGGTGTGTGATTCTATGTTTGTATATCTATGTTGGCCTGAGTGACTCCCAATCAGAGGCAACGAGTGTCAGCTGGTTGTCTCTGATTGGGAGCCATATTTAACTGTCTGTCTTTTCACTTTGTGTTGTGGTTTCTTGTTCCGTGTTGGTTTGTTTATGTAACCAAGGACGTCACGTTTCGTTGTTTTGATCGTGTGATCATTCGTATAATAAATATGTTTGCTTTCAACGCTGCGCCTTGGTCCGCTTCCTGTAACGATCGTGACAGAAGAAACCACCATAATAGGACCAAGCAGCGTGAAGAAGAGAGAGGATGGACTTGGGAGCAGTGGAGTAGGAGTCTCGACTGGGCCAAGCCAAGAGAAGAGGAGAGAGGTTGGACTTTGGAGCAGTGGGGTGAGAGTCTGGCGAGAACGATGGAGGCCTGGCCCACGGGGAGGAGAGACCCCCAGAAATTTTTTTGGGGGGGGCTCACGACGTCGGGGCAGCAGGAGGCCGCGATAGAGCGGTCCAGCGGGTTGGCAGAAGAGGCCGCCAGGTTACGGGAGTCACTGGTCACCAGGGGGAAGGAGGTTGTAGAGGCACGGCGAGAGGTACTGGCGTGTGTTGCCAGTCCGGTCCGGCCTGTTCCTGATCCCCACGTAGGGCCAGTGGTGTGTGTTCCCAGTACGGTCCGGCCTGTTCCTGCCACTCCCACCAAGTCTGTGGTGCGCGTCGCCAGCCCAGTCCGGCCCATCCAAGCTCCCCGCACCAAGTCTGTGGTGCGCGTCACCAGCCCAGTCCGGCCCATTCCTGCTCCCCGCACCAAGTCTGTGGTGCGTTTCGTCAGCCCTGTCCGGCCCGTTCCTGCTCTCCGCACCAAGTCTGTGGTGCGCGTCGTCCAGCCCAGTCCGGCCCATCCAAGCTCCCCGCACCAAGTCAGTGGTGCGCGTCGTCAGCCCGGTCCGGCTCATTCCTGCTCCCCGCACCAAGTCAGGGGTGCGCTTCGTCAGCCCGGTCCGGCCCATTCCTGCTCCCCGCGCCAAGGCAGTGGTGCGCTTCGTCAGCCCGGTCCGGCCCATTCCTTTACCCCGCACCAAGGAAGTGGTGCGCTTCGTCAGCCCGGCTCGGCCCGTTCCTGCTCCCCGCACCAAGTCAGTGGTGTGCTTCGTCAGCCCAGTCCGGCCTGTCCCTGCTCCACGCACCAAGCCTACGGTGTGCGTCGTCAGCCTGGTAAGGCCCGTTCCTCCTCCACGCACCAAGCCAGGGGTGCGCGTCGTCAGTCCAGCACAACCCGTGCCTGGGTCATGTCCGGAGCCGGATCCGCCGCCGAGGCGGAGTGCCCACCCGGGTCCCTCCCCTGTTGTGGTTGTTTGGCGCGGTCGGAGTCCGCGCCTTTGGGGGGGGGGGGTACTGTCACGCCCTGGCTCTGGGGACTATGTTATGTTGAGCCAGGGTGTGTGATTCTATGTTTGTATATCTATGTTGGCCTGAGTGACTCCCAATCAGAGGCAACGAGTGTCAGCTGGTTGTCTCTGATTGGGAGCCA